AGCAGCATAAGTTCTTTTATGCTTAAAAAAACAATGATCAAGGCCTCTAACTCTTACACAACCAACAGAATACTCATAGTAATAGTGAGTTACAGAAGTCAAAGGACCATATAATTTTGCTTTTTACCATAACTACACTGCTTGAAAATTCTAGAATTGAAAAGCAGTGGTCAGTAAGCAAGTGCCAAAAAGGCATGAACTACTGAGCATTCATTTCATTTAGAAGCCCTGTGCTGTGGCTCCCTCTTTAGATTGATTAGATGGAGAAGTCACACCAGTAACTGTGCCAGCATCAAAACACCTGTGGGCCAAAACTCTGCAAATAGTCACTGCATCATGAGAGGGTTTTGTCTCTCTGGAAACTCTGGCTACAACATTTCTGACAATGGACCATAGTTAACCAAGGTCCTTTGCTAGAGCCTGTTTTCTCAGAGTTAGTGTATTTTCAAGGCTTAAAAGAAAAGTGAATCCTTTAACTGATTCTCCACCTTGGCAGTAGTTTGCTTATCTTGCACCAGATGTATTTTATCAGGCATATGGTACAGTAAAAATTGATATTTAAAGAGAGGATGGTGATGTTTAGGTCAATATTTAATCTTGAAACATTTTCTGTCAATTAGGGACATTAGCATGTACTTTAGGACAGATTCTCAGTTGAAATACATAGTAAAGTAGAGAAAGTATAACTGATTATTGCAACTGAGACCGTGGATTTCAGCAAGAGTAAGCTGATTTGGTCTGGCAGAGAGTTTTTTTGTGTTATAAAAATTTGCTAACAATTTTGAGTGCTCTAGGATCCACTAGGGTACCTGGTACTTCTTGGTCCTATTGTAATTCAGGTCAGCATTCCCATCAACTTCAGTACAGCATCTATTCTGAAAAGGACACTGGTGAGCTCAGTCTGGTTAATCCTAAAATTTTAGGGTCCACCTCCCCTCCCTCAGTGGAATATCATCTTTTAATAGCATCCTTTCCACCAGCTCTCATAGGAATGTGGGTGCTATGCAACTCTAATGCATTTGGAAATCTTGCCCTTAGACAGTGAGACTTCTTGGCCTCTAAGCAGAAGTCTTTAAATCACCCAAATGTTAAAAGACTTACATCTCCATCTCAAAACATGATCCTTCTTAAAGGTTATTTTTAAACAACTGATCCTTCAGAAGCCGTCTGGTTTTACTGGTATTAACAATCTGCTCAGGAGACATGGATCCTTCTCCTTCTCACTGAAGCTCTTTGTTCTAGTGTTTAAACTGGATTTACATCAGTGACACCTCCTACTTATTAAACTTAAGAGTTCTCACTCATCACTGCTTACAAACATTATTGCAGTCAGGCACTTAGAGAAATGTAAAGTTTCATTCAAATTACATACTACCTTTTTCTCCAAAATACCAAAATCACTGGTAAAAGAGACTTCCCAGCACTCTCAACACTTTCCAAAATGCCGCCTTTAACTGAGATAAAAAGACAATAATTTTTATGTTTTGTACTAAATACTACCCTCAAGATTACTCCAGTAAAAGCAATGATTATCAGAGCAAGATCTGAGTGACCTCAGAATGGTGGCAGTGACAGGTTCTACCAACACTCCAGCAACTATAAGGGAAAGAAACAGGTCAGGTCTGCTTTCAACCCAGGAAACCTAAGCAACAATCTGGGAGCAGGACTGAAACACGTACACCTATATTTTGCTCAAGCCAAGACTGCAGTCCTGAGCTTGACATTAAATGGAGCTCCTGGCCAATGAGCAGGCAGTGAAGGTGGAGGACCCTGGCAAGGTCTCTTAGGGTAATTAGAGTTCATTGGTACACTCTGGACTCTGACAAAATATGAAAGAATACAGGTTTTAATTACAGCATGACCAATCACACAGTATGAACAACGGATTCAAATAAGTCTCAGCAGTTATTTCCTGTAGGCTGAAATATGGTTGCAGAAAATGCCTGCTTAATAATTTAGAAGGATGGAAAAAACCAGTTCTTGTTTGCAAACAGAAGAGTACAAAAGTTTAAAGGGGTTAAATTAATCAAATAAATTATTAATTACAATTAGCTCATCCATTAGTGTCATGCATCTAAATGCACCAGCCAGCATCAGGGCTCTTTGTATTGGTCCCAAAAGGGACATTGCAAAGTCCAAACACAGTCTTATAGGGACTAGAAGAGAGGACCTCCTCCAGTTAAATATCCCACCACCAGTCTGCCGAGGTCAAAATACTCTTCTCCTTACCTGGCCCAGTAAAACATTGTTTTCTACAAATGAGAAGGTTCCTTCAATAAGAGTGACTGTGAATTTTGCTTAGCAAGATCCTGCAACCCTGAGATTAGGCACACTGTGGAAAGTGGGGGGTAGAAGGACAAGGGGAAGAACATTTTGGGCAAGATCTGAGGTGAACTGAGCCCGTTTGCTTCTTCTATAAAGAATTTAAGCACTGAAAATGAGCACTAACAGGGTAGGACATGTGTGCTGCTTTTTCCCCTGAATATATACTTCAAAAGAAGGTCATTCCTTTTGGAAGAGAACAAACAAGCATTTCTCTTTCAAACAGTGAATATGGGGAGAGGGAGGATGTCCTCCAGAAGCAGTAAGTCACCCAAGTCCTGTGAAGGTTGGATTCAGAGACTGGTGGTTATCTCCCCTTGCCCTGCCCCTGTGTGTCCAATATATGTAGGTAGGCGATCGGATTGAACATTACGCCCATGGAAAGAGGGAGCACAGGTCTCAAAGTGAGCACTGTAATACCCAACATGGAAAAACTTAGATCAGCAATTTAGAGTTTCAATGACAGAGCAAGGACCAGACTGTGGGTCCCACAAGTCACAGTCCAGTACCTGATTCAGTGGACCACAGCCCAGGTTGCTTAGGTTGCTTAAGAAAAGATCTTAAAATATATGTAGCATGAAGCTTTTATGTGTTACACTATCAGGATCAATAGAACAATTCTGTTCTGCAGAACTATATTCTACCAGAACTCAAAAGACTGATTAGAACAAAAGTTTCAATAGTATATTTTTGTGATACCATTTATTATCCCACATGGTTTGACATAGTGTAGTATATTGCACCTATAAATCAGTTGCAGCAAATTATTTAATGATGCATTAACTGTGGAATTTCACATATATTACAGTTCTTTAGCCAATGTTGAATGCTTTTTCAACAGCTTAATCCATCCCAGAAGTACTGAAGCAGGCATATTCATTCATCATCAGGGTGCACATAGTCTTCTCTTTGCTCTTTTTATTTTATTAAAGTCCTCGATCTACAAGCATGGCATTAAATAATTCCCCAGAACTTTTTCTTCACAACATTCCCGCCATTAACCTCACCCTTCTATTGCAAAAAAAGTCTATTCATTCTCTATTACATTCTTGCTGTCCTTTGGCACAGGTTAAGCCTGGCATTGACTTAGACCACAGTGTTGAGAATTCATAGATGACTCACTGGTGCCCTGGCAACAAAGGATGAAAGAAGTCAGAGTTACTGAACACCCTCTTTTCTTCAGTCTTTACTGCTAAGGCCAGCCCTCAGGAATCCCAGACCTTAGGGGCAAGAGAGAAAGTCTGGAGAAAAGAAGGTTTGCCCTTTATCAAGGAGGATTGGGTTTGAGATTGTATTGACAAATTGGATACCTGTAAATTCATAGGTCCTGATGGAATGCACCCACAAGTGCTGAGGGAGCTGTCAGATGTTATTGCTAAGACACTCTCCATCATCTTTGTAAGGTCATGGAGAACAGGAGTAGTGCCTGAGGACTGGAGGAAAGACAGCGTCACTCCAATCTTCAAAAGTGCAGGAAGGAAACTACAGGTCAGTCAAGCTCACTTCCATCCCTAGAAAGGTGATCCTGGATGTCATCTCTAAGCATGTGAAGGAAAAGAAGATTTCATCAGGTGTTCATCAAGGAGTAATCGTGCTTGACCAATCTGATAGCCTTCTGTGATGGAGTGACTGGATGAGTAGATGAGGGAAGAGCTGTGGATGTTGCCTACCTTGATTTCAGCAAGGCTTTCGACATGGTCTCCCAGGAGGTAAGCTTGGGAATTGTGAATTAGATGAGTGGACAGTGAGGTGGATTGAGAACTGACTGAAAGGCAGAGCTTGGGGGTTGTCATCAGCAGCACAGAGTCCAACTGGAGTCCTATCACTAGCAGTGTGCCCCTGGGGTCAGTACTGAGTCCAGACTTGTTCAACTTCTCCATTAATGACCTGGATGGACAGAGTGCACCCTCAGCAAGGGAGGAGTGGCCGATACCCCAAAGTGCTGTGCAGACATTCAGTGAGACCCGGACAGGCTGGAGAGATGGGCAGAGAGGAACCTTCTGAAGTTCATCAAGGGCAAATGCAGGGTCCTTCACCTGGGGAGGAATAACCAATGGATTGTGGCCAGCAGGTCAAGGGAGGCCCTGGTGAGGCTTTACCTGGAGTACTGTGTCAAATTCCAGGCTCCTCAGTTCAAGAAAGAACAGAGAGAAGGAAAAGATACAAAAAAGTGTGATTATAGAAGATTGTTTTGTGGTGGTTTTTTTTTTCACTTCCAAGATGTCCCTTGCTAGAGATTCCTCTGAGGTCTTTGAGGCATCCAGAGTTGGACCAGAAAATGTTTTTGGAATTGTTTTTTAATACCAGACATCAAAATAACCTTCTTAATTTTATGATATTCATCTCATGGTGGTGAACCCAAACACACTTCCACAGCCAGAAACCTACTAGTTTTACTCTTCAGCACTACATTTGGTGCCTGCATAAGAGCATAAGCATTCTAGACCTTCATGGAGTTCTAGATGAGCACCTCAACAAGTTCCTTCATTTGGGGAAAATCCTTGCAACCGTTAGCTGTTAAAATCACCTTTCCAAGCATCTTCCATCTCCTCCAGCTCCTGCAAAAAACCGCTTCAAATCCTGGAGAGCAATGGGGAGAGTGATGATTGATCTTTCTTCTGCCACTTGTCACTGCTGGCACAGGAAGACAGAATAACTTGCTTGTGGCTATTCTTCTTGGCAGTTGTCTCTCCTCTCCACTCACTCACGGAGATAAATGCTGTCATGGCAGAACACAGCCTTAAGGTAACTCTTCTGTACAATATGGAATGTTAGCATTGCATTTCATTATATGACATTGGTTTTAAAAGCTCCTCCCCTTCAGTTGATACCTTTTTTACTATAATATTCATTCTAATTTTGCTATGTGCTTTTTCTTCTACCTATTTTCCGTGTCCTTGCTCTGCTGGTAATTTATGCAGATCCTGCCTGTTCAGTCTTTTTTATGCAGAGTAACTATGACACAAGGGCAAGGAGTTGGATCATGTTGCTTTCTTTTTCATCTTTAGAAATGGAGCACAAATGTCTGAGGCATTGGTCATGGGTATGAATATCCTTCTTAGACCAAATCTCAGGATACTAAGTTAGAGAAATTGAACCATTTTGGAAAGTCAGTGTGGTCTCTAGGAGGCAAAACTGGGCTAAAATTCTAGAGGAAATGAGGAAACCAAAAGCTTGTAATTCAACAGCATACAGGGAGGAAAGGTCACGCCATGCCAGCTGTCTTCCTAATAACCACTGCAGAAAGAAGGCAGGGGGCACAAGACCAGATTTCTTAAAACGCAAAGCCTCTCCTCTCAGTGGAGTCAGGAGGATGTCTCCAGCCAGCTTATTATCCTAGCAGGACGTCTCCAGCCAGCATGCTATCCTAGCACGTATGACTGAACTGGATTTCAGCTGTAAACTTCTCATGTCACCTGTACAGCGCACACACACACACACACACAAACAAACCTGTAAATATAGGAAGCAATGTTTTGCCATTGTGGCAGCAATGTAAGAAAGAGAGATCTTATAGGAAGGGAAAGTGACTCTCTACTGTCACATACCCACAAGCACCAAGATGTGTGTGTGTGCAGCCTTTTCAGCATTTAGGCACTAAGAGGCTGTTTCCTGTGGTCATCATTCTGATTTCTCTGGGCTGAGAAGTAAATTATGTTCACTGACCATCTGCCTTCCCCTTTCTCCCTTTCCTTCACAAGCCCATGGTCTCCTTGTGTTTGCTATATGAGGTAAATAGCTGCTAGGGATGTATGGCATCACACCCTGTACCCAAGGCCTCTCCTCTGTCCTGTCCGGGCAGCAGGTGCCCAAACCATGCAGTTCCTGTCTCTCTACATGCACAAGTGCATTGTCATCTTCTAAATGGAGAAATTCAGGGGACAGCTCAGAAAATGGCACTGTGTCAAAAAGCAGAAGGAACTAAATGTTGGGCATCTGCTTGGCCTTTATACCTGATTACCTCTGGGAGTCAGTTTTGAATGTTCCCCAGTGGATCGTTCCCTTTTTATGTCCTTTTATGTTTGCTGAAAGGCACTGAGATTATTATTGGGAAATTTACCATTTGAGTCATCTCTCTCCCTAACAAAATTGGCTTTATAGTTTTGCAAACAGGAAGATTTATTTTCCCCTCAAAATAAATATTGATAAACCTACTTCAGTCAATATTTACTGTTTGGTTTGGGGAAGAAGGAAAAAAGTCCAGCCCAAAGTTTAATAGAGTTTGATATCTGTTTTTTATCTACACTACAAACACAATATCATATTGCTGTCTTGGCAGACAAAGGAAAATTAGTTTCTATTCATATTACTGAAATGCTATGGGGCACTTTCTAGGAGGAAAGTGATGGGAGCCTGGGGCTTGTGCATCAGTCACACTTTTTTACAGCCTAGCAGCTTTACGTTGGTTTTAGGCTTTGGGGTGGAATACTGAGGTGTGGGTTAAGTGTGACCTGGCACTTCTGTTATAAAAGGCTGCATCTCCATAGCACAGAGGCTGTCTTCTTATTCCTGAATTAGATGTTTCACAAGTACCCTAAATACAACAGTGCTTGCTTATGGAGCTCTTCACCGTGCTGTGTGAAAACATGTGCACTAATTTGACCTGGCATAAATTCGTAATTCTTGACACCTAGAAAATGAACATATTACCTTATTAAATGCTGCTCACTCACAAATGCACAGACCAGCTGTTTCCTCCCTCTATTATTGAACTGTAGCAAGCACTTTCTGGAGGAAAATTAAAAGTAATGATTACAATCAATTAAAAAAATTCAATTTAAATTCTGCTACATAGGGAATTACAGCATTTTAAAAATGTTGTCTTCCATTTTTTTTTAAGTTCCTACATGTTATGTCTGACCCCCTATAGATAAAATCTCCTCCTTCAAAACCCCAGGTTTGTTTACTTTGGAGAATGTGCATACACCTAGGCAGAAAAAGAAAACCTGACTGGGATATTTTATATATTTTATGACTGCAACAAAAGATATTCTAGTCTTTGGTACGTGTGTGTCCCACACACACATATCTCCCCTCCCTTTCCTGTCCCTGATAGGCAATGTGATTTGTCCTAAGACAGGAACACCAGGTGGGTATTAATTATGTTCATATAATTAATGCTTTTCACTTGGGTGCACATTGGCCTGCAAAAGGGTATAAAATGCTGATGGAGACTGGGCCAATAAAATAAAATTATCTCCAAAGACTGCGAGTAGAAGTGCTAAGATCTGGTCAAATAAGGAGATAAAACCCTAAAGTAGCTTCATAGGTTCTTTGTTGCTTTGTAATTGTGACTTTCGCAAGGCCGAAGACTGTAAACCTGTATGTTTCTAGCTAAACTTAGATACATCCATAACCCTTTAGATACTATAATCCATTGTAATAGATGATAGAGTTGTTATTTAGATACTGTATCTGTGATACTTAGATACTGTATTAGCAATAGGTCTTATCATAATCATCCACATAATCACTGCGTCCTACTTGCCAAACCAGGCTGAAAACCTTCTCTTCACTACACTGCTACACACATCCTAAAACAATCTGAAACTCTGGTGAAATATAAAAACAGCCATTTCCTCAGGCAGATATGTGGATGATGACTAAACTTTCCAAAAGATGGTTGAAATTCAGGCATTCCCTACACCTATCTGAGGGCTCTGATCAAGTCATAAGAGAATCTGGAATACTCAAACCATTTCCACCAGTATCCTTTCACAGTTCAACATGGAATACTCTAACTCTCCCTGTACATAAAGTACCTTTAGATATGGCTTGCACTGAGTTGCACCCAAAGAACATTTTCAGTGTAGGTATGGGATGAAAATTACTGCCTTGCAGTGTTATTGATTCAGGCAGGCAGCAGGTGTCATTCCTGTCGTGTGCCCCCACCCCCTCTGCCTTTTTTCTTGCTGTGTAAAGTATTTAAGTTTAATGGTTACTTTTCCTTTGTATTTTAGCAACTTTGACTGCAGAAAGCAGAAGCCATGTCTTGATAAATACGTATCCTGCAAGAGCATTTTATTTGGCAGAACAAATCGCTAGCATTGGAGCCAGCATGCAAATCTTGATTTACAACCGCCGTCAGTGCTTGCCAAGTGACGGCTCCCGTGAACGGAGGCAGAACCACCTTTGTTGTTCTGATTCCAACACATCCTTCCCTCTCCTTGCAACTTTTTTCTGCATGCATGTGCGTGTCAGTGTGCATTCCCTAAGATTTGTGTTCCGGTTACTTACTTGGTTTTTATCCCACAGTGATTGTTTCTAGTCCAAAACTGACATCTTTTGCTGGGTACTGCTCTCCCACTCGCTTGGTGCTTAGGTGACCTTCGCTTCATTGGTATTCAGTCAGTGTCAGAGATGCGCTTGCTTCAGCTGCTTGGGCTCCGGTGAGCAGGTGGAGAAATGACCGGTTGAAAATGAGTTGTTAAGACCACTACAGCAAAAAGATTGATGCAATTAATTTTTCATTGTGTACAGTGTCTGTGGATTGTAATCAGCTCGGATTGTTCCTCCTCTGAGGCACAAATAAAATGCAAATGGTTTTTGCATGAAAGGGAACGTTCTTTATGAGGTACTGTGCTATTCGGAACTGCAAAATGGCTTGAAATAAATGGGGATTATGAGGAATGTTTTATGAATCCACCTAGGAGAACTTAATATAAGTTTCATGCAGGGAAAACCACAGGTGAGTTTCCCATCAGATGAACATATTACTGCTCAAGCAACTGGAAACAAGAAAGAGCCAAAGGCTTTAAGCCTTATTTAATAATACTAATACCTAGCTCTTTCCATGAGGAGAAGTCAATGCACTTTACAGAGAAATTACTTGCCTTACAGATGGGTTTCAATTAAGTATTCTTTTCCAAGCCCCCTCTCATCTCTACAGCACTGAGTAGAAGGCATGTCTACAGTGCCCTACCAACTCTTTTACCCCTTAGTGATACACTGGCAGCAACCAGAGCAGCTCTGAACCAGCCTATTCACAGTGCAAAGCATTCAGCCAGGCAGAACACTTGCATTGTAAAGTTCTTGCAGAGGCTTAGTCACAGAGTCGTACCAGGTACCTACAAACTTGCTTTTGTATATGTTTTTAACAGACATACCTCCCAGAATCAGAGCTCCTGCCTTACAGAGCAGATACCAGCTTGGGAGCAGGGCAACTACATTAGCTACTTATTGATCCCTCACCTCGGCCAGCAGACTCAGGACTCAGCCCGGCAGTCGACTTCATAGTCAAGGTTGGTGGAGTTTAACTGTGGGAGAAAGGCCCTTGACTTTGACAGGAACTCTGAACGCCTGTGTATGTCCTGGAGTTTGCATGGTGCTAGTCAGATGGGGATTTAGAGGATTGATTGGTAGATCTGGAAACAGAATAAAAACTAATTCTGTGTTTTCCTCAAAACAGAGTGACAGAGAAATGGGTCATTTGGTAGGAGAAATGGGTCATTTCCTTACAAGTGCATGCAAGATGAAGAGGAAAAAAGTGGAGGGAATGCAATGAGGTTCTATTGCTTGCAAAACACAAAGGAATTGCCACCAATGCCAAGGCAAGGGGTTTGTTAGATTTCCACTGCATTTTGTGCAGCTGATTCTTCCTTCTGGGTATTGCTGTAATAAATGCACATTTTAAGACTTTTAAGGCAGTGTAAACTACTGGATAAAGGGCTGAAGGGACCATCTGCCTATCACAGTCAGTGAGGGCATTTCACTTCTGATGGTATGGGAAATCCGAACAAACAGTGCAACTCTCTCTTCAGAAGTATGAAGTAACTGGCTCCCATAAGTCCTACACCAGCTCATGTGTGCTTAAAATCATTAATCAAATCTTGGTGATACCAGTGAGCCATGCAACTTCATTCACAGCCTGGGGACTATTTTCTTCTTCTCTTGCTTCCTAAGAACTAAGATAGACTGTCAGGCTAGGAGATGAAGACTCTGACAGCTACATGCACCAACAACTCCTGCTGGAGGAGCCCAATTTGTGCGTGCCATTGCTCAGGTCAAATGTAACTGGCAGTATATGCTCATGTGTGCAGCAGGGGTTGTAACTGTTCGTCACTAACAGAGAGGTCTGCTCCACTGAAGTCAGTGTTAACACTGTTGACAGCATTCACAGAAGGGCTACACCAAATATAGGAAAATCCCAGCTCAATTTTTCCCTTATTTTCATTTTAAGGGGCTGCTGTTTGGTTGTCCTGCATGTTTGGGGTTGTTTTTTCACAGTGCACATTAGTTTAGGTGTGAGTATTTAATTTCATATTATTATGGCAGAGGCCAACCATTTATCTGAAAGCTGATGTTTGTGGTTCACTAATACAATCCAATACTTTACTGTCCTTGTTTGCATTCTCAATCCCTGACAAAAATCCTGGATATCAGCGGATACCAGTAAACAAATTTTCATGAGACCTTAGTGTCTCTTAACAGAATTATTATCTTTGAAAGATCTCAATCAAAAGACTTATTTAGGCTCAGTATCAGCCTTACACAGCTCTTGCTAAAGTTTAAACATCATCTAGGAGCCAAATTATACCAAGGACTTTTTAGTACAATGAAGCCCTCTTCTGGCTTGGAACATCTGCAAGTCAACACAGCATAGCATACACCAAAACGCCTTGATAAAAATAGTAAATATCTAATCACAATATTTTCAAATTGTATTTTGCTTACACAGTACACATTTCCTAACAGTCTGAAGAATAGTATATTCAAAAAATAAAAACTATTTAATGTCCGGCAAAGTCAGTTCACTGCTAAAAGTGATGCACTTACTGTGCAGATTAGAAATGAAAAGGAGATGGACAGTCAGAATCTGGATTGCTTTGTGTTTTAAATCAAAATTGCACAAAGACTTTTTCATGATACCCTTGCAGGATATGTGGTATTTTTCTAAATAGGAAGAAATGAACACTCTTGAAGAGAACAGAGGCAGTTTGAACCAAATTAAAACCTTAGTGGCTGGGAAATTGGAAAGAAAGACTGTCAGTCAGCCTAGGTCATGTCAAGGCTGTGAAGTGTAGCACAGTCTCCCCTCTGCCCCACAAAACCATTAGTCTATCATGAAGGCCACTGGCCTTTTCTTCATGGTATGATTTTTAATGCATTGGTTCTTTTTTTTAGAAAATCTCTAACCTCATCTGAAATCCTTCCCTTCACTCTCCTCGTTTTCTTTTATGCTCTCACTTTGCCCTTCAAAACCTCATTTAATTATGTTTCTGGCCTTAGCTAGAAAGACTTGGAACAGGTTTTTTTCTTGATCTACATTTTCATGACAGGCTTCTTAAAAATAGGACTCTTTTGTCACAGTCTCTGTTTGCTTGATATCAACCTAGAGCAAACATGCCAACACACGTAAGTGTCACAGATCTGAAGAGCTAGGGAGTTTCAGGCTAGAAGCCCTTCAGGACAAGGAAAATATTTTGAGTGGAATTTTTCTGCAGATCAGAAAATCCCTGTGTCACTGCAATATTTTTTGGGTTCACAAAATATAAATATATAAATATAAATATATAATATATAAATATAAAATCAAACCCATATAAATATAACATATTTATATGGGTTTGATTTTAAGGGAAACAATACTTAATGTTGAAAGAAATTAATCAGTCTGGGCTTGCCACTCAGGAATCTTTGCAGTTTAGATGAAAACTTTCTGACTGACTGTATGCAAAATGATGTTAAATCACATGAATGTTTGTTCAGTTTTAAGGATCCAACTGCATAACAAGCATCTGTGAAATTTCTTCCTCTCTATGAAGCAAAAACCTCTACTTGTTTTTGAGTGGTTTTGGAGAGTGGCCAATAGCAGATGCCTATGTACAGGGATAAGACCAAAGCCAGATCAAAGCAGTATTTCCCAGGTACACTACAGCTTACAGTAATACAAGACGTAAGGCCCCTTGAATGGGAGATGGTGACAGGACTAGCACTCTGCAGTGATTTTTCTATTTTTCATGAATTTATTCAGTCAGTTTTTGAACCTTTGTAAGCTCTTAGCACCCACACCATCCAATGGTGACAAGTTGTACAGATTAACTACATGTTGTATTAGGAAGCATTTCCTTATATTTGCTTCAAACCTGATCATCCATTACATTGCTCATCTTACAAAAACTGTTCTGTTCCACTGATCAGACTGTATACCTTTTCCTGCATGCTAGATTTCAGGGGTTGCTATATCATGACCAAAAAGATCCAAGCTTCAAGTCAATGCTGAGCTCCTGCTAAATGTCTGGGCTCTTGATATAAATATGTATTAGTGGTGTTTCTGATGGGGGTTGGCAAATTTGTTCTGAGATGATGATATGCCAACAGATGTTCCTGAAATACGCAGAATACGTTTAAGTGTCTTACCCTGATCTGAGAGTGTCTGCAGCATAAAGCACAAAGAGAAATGATGCTGTCTGTGTGACAGCCAATTGCTGGCAGCTTTAAAAGCGAACAACTACATTAATATTTCTACTTTACTGCTTTGTGTGTATTTGTGGCCCTTCAAAGCAATAAAAGGAAAATTAAGCCCTCAATGTCACAACTCATAAACTAATTTTGCTGATGAAGAAAAGGAAAGGAAGGGTTCAAGAGGAGCAGAATTTCTCTTTCCATTCCTAGGAAACAGCCAAGCAGCCATGTGGTATTGCCCTGACCTTTCTTTAGCCATTTGTTCCTCTCTGCTTCTCCTTTGGATGTGTTTCTGTGCCACTTAGCAGTTGCATAAATAATGTCAAGAGGCTTCATATGATGGAAAGCTGCAGTGAGCCATGAGACATTCCGGCTTTAATTAGGTACACAAACTAAACCCAGCAGTAATATGTCTGTGGTACCATGAATGTCACAAGCACAAGTCCTTTCTTGGTGAGGGCAAAACATTGTTAGGGGGCATAATAAAAGGTACCATTTATTATAGAAGCAGCTTTTTCTTTCACTGGTTCTGTTTCAATTGGCAGATATCCATTTTGTTGAACAAAGACCTCAGGGTATTCTTCTCTTCATCCTGCCTTTGCTCACCTGCCAGTTTTTAAAGCTGGGTTTTTCTAAGAGGATATGGTGAGTAATGGTCACAACCAGCTGAGGTACTATCTTGAGGCAAACATAACTATCTGAGCAGCTCAGGCAGCATCCCTGACATAGGAAACACTCTGGAAGAATTTCTGGCTTTCTGAATAATTGGGAGTTGGTCCAAAGTTCTTTGAACCCTGAGGATATTTCAGGCTACACTTTAAAGTGCTCAGCTGGGCCCCACTCTGCTCTCAATGAAATAGTAAGCTCGATTCATCCTGTGTTCAGGTATTACAGATGACAGCTATTTTTGAAAGCATGGCTCTACAGCACAGCTTCTAAAGAAGCACATCTTTAAA